AAAGTTTTTTTTTTATTTTTTTTTTTTTTTTTTTTTAAAGGGTCTTGGGGGGGGGGGGATTTAAAAAAATAAAAATAAAAATAAAGTGAGTTTTGGCCCTGAATGGGGTAGTGAATTCCCTAAATCTTGGGAAATTTCCCAAGATGTGGCAGTCCTGATTACGGCTCGCCTTACATTTTGAGCTGTGCAGGTCTTTCTTGGACTATAGATTTAAACAACACTGATTATAATTACAAATTGAGAAAAATCTGCTTTAAATCTTGTATATATGAATATTTAAATAAATTGAAATTCACTTGTTTAGAAATAAATACCTGATATCTTTAAATATGTATTTAAATGACGTACTTAAAAAAGATAAATATTAATCGAGATCTAAACAGCCAACTTGGCAGGACATATATTTTCCATACAGAACGTTTCTTTAACTACAGAAGAGTTTTTCTTGCAGACAACGTAAACAGAAGATGGCTGGAATTTAATATTAATATTTTGATCTCTACAATTTGTTCAGTTGCTGTGTATTCGGTACAAATAAAAACTATTTGATTATTAGAGTTTTTTTTTTCATTAATAATGAAATAATTTTGTGCCTTTTACTTTTACTTTTAAATCGTTAACTAACTATAACAATTTAATAAAATAATTCATATTATTTTATCAGATCATATTTTAATTTTTTGTTTTAAATATTTTTATCAATATATACATTTATAAGTAGCCTATATTATTAATTATATTAATACTATTATATTAACCTTAGCAGTAACTTTGCACTCAAAACTCATGACAAATGACAACTCAGATAATTGGTTTTGTAACTAAAACTGTGAGTGAGTAAATGAAAGAATGGGCTATTCGGACCCGGGTTTGGAGATCGGTTCAGAAAACACCTCTATAACATAAATAAACAAGCTCTCTGTCTGGTCTCCAAACATTTCAATAGCCCTAACCATGAGGGAATCTCAGACATCTCAGTTACTCGTATATTGTATACCAGTAACACAACAGATAGGATTTACATGGAGAATACATTAATTACACTTACTACACATTTTGGTATGTAGTCTCCATATGGAATAAACCAAATCCACAATTTTACCTAGCTACCATGTCTTTTTCCTGTTTGGTTTTTACAATTTTGTCCAAATCACTTCATTTCCACTTTTCTTTACTTTGTTTCTGCCTTTTTTTTCGCCCACTCCTATTTTTTCTCCCCTTTCTAAGGTAGGATATCTGTATATAATAGTAGGCCTATATATATAACATGTAAATGTAATTTATACTTATTTAATTGTCTTTTTGTTGTACTGTTGAAGGCATGTGCCGAAACGTGTACTTTTGGATTCTGTAAAATTATTATTAAAGCTTACCTTATATTGTTATATTGAAACAAATTGTTGGTTTCTAATTAATCCCTGTTAACGTAATGGCTATTCGGACCCGGAGTGGTTCCATATAGATTAATTGGCTTCGGATCAGGGTGCAGTAGTAGTATGATAATTTTTTTTTTTAATTATTTTTTTTCTCATTGTTATTTCATAGATTCATAGATCTAGTTTTATTCTTTTTCTTTTCTTTTTGTTTTGTTAAAGTTCTAAAGAGAGCTTGGCTTAATCAGAACAAAACCTCACCTTTTTGCTGGCATTGGTAGTAATATTATACACCTGAATACCAACTGTTTTTCCTGATAACTAATTCGTAACTCAAATCTCTCGATAATCTTTCTCATACTTGACTTAATTCACAAGATAGTTGGAATGAACATCTTGAAGGATGCAATTGCATAAAGCATGAGAAATAGACTTATTATTTTGAAGGGCTAGTCCTTTTTTTCAACCATACCTAGCTTACTGGGTGTAAAACACAGGCACATGATTAAAAATTTAATAATAATAAAAAACTTCAGTGAAAGTGGCTTGTAAACATTTTTGTTTAGTTTGTTATTTGAGTTTGTGTACCATTAATCCATAAAATAAATTAGGGACCAGTATGGAGTAGGCAACCGATAAAAGTAAAAGATTTCATTTTAAATTGTTTAAATTGCTACAAAATATTTAAAAACCTCATGAAACTAATGTTGCAAATGAACATGATAATATAAATATAATATAAAATGGGGGGAAAAAAAATCGATCCCACACTGGGAATTGATCTCAAAACATAATATCGCCAAGCGGCCACTGTACCACAAGACCACACAAGATCTTCTTTATCATGAATAATATCTTAAAACCATGCCAATGGGACATTTTTGCTGCGGTGTAACCGTCACATGATCAACGGAAAATGGACCCCACGTGATCAGCCGGGTCCGAAAAGCGATTTTGGCTTACAGGACCCGGGTCCGAATAACCACTTCATAAATTAAATCAGTGTGAATCACTGATAATGTGAAATAAATGGGTTTGATTAAAATAAAAATTGTTTGAATTTATAACTCATAAGTCATAGTCGGTAAAAGAAGACCAGGGCAGGTAGAAAAAGTTTCATGGAAGTGTTATTAGACTGTTAATTAATAATTATAAGTTGTGTAGTGTACTGATTTACAGATTATAAATTATAGATTTAGATAAGGGATATTTGGAACGCCCTTCCTGTCGATCTCAGAAACAAACAGACACTGGAGTCCTTTAAAACAGATTTAAACACACATCTATTTCGCAAACACCTTCTGGGATGATTGTCAACCTTATTTTCCAGTTAATGCATAATGGCTGTGTTGCTTGGGGTTGAAATGGCTAGAAAGACTTTGCAATTGTATGCTAGTAATTAGTTTTTGTAGTGTTGCGTTTATTTTAAATGTTGTAAATTATAGATTTGTATTTCATTGACTTTGTACAGCGCTTCGAGCCTTTGGGGATGAAGCGTGTTTTTGAAATAAACTTTATTATTATTATTATTATTATATCTTGAATTTTTCACAAATCACTAAGTCCAATGTTATGAATGTTAAACGGTAAACACTATTCACTAGGCTATATTATATACTATCCAAGACTATCCCTATATAATATATATAATGTATTGTGAAAGGTCACAGATCATGGCAACCAAGTTGGCCGTTGTGTAAAAAAAACCACATCTGCTAAAATGGGGAGGGGAAAGGGAGAGGAATGTGCTAGATTAGCTATTTAGAGAGAGAAATGAATGTCAGAATAAATTGTTAAAATTTAATTAAATAATTTCGACTGGTACATAAATTTTGGGGCATGCAAAGCTACTTTATTGTAGGCTATGCATCTATATATTTGGCAAGGATCGTCAACAACCTACAGTCACCCCCTTTCCTTGCATATTTCCGGCAGTACATGCTCGTTTCCCTCAACTAAAAGACGTATGTGGCAACATTTTCACACTGGTTAAGAAAAATATAAAAATGAAGAAAAGCAATATAAAAAAAATTATAAAACAATGAAAAGCCAACTTAGTTTCATAGAATAAACTTTTACACACTTTATTTCACTTTCCACAAAATCCAAAAGTTTCAGAAAATCAATGATTATACAATATTTTCCAAAATGTTTGAAAATTTAAATATTACAATTAACCAACCAGTTAAATTTTAATTTAAAACACAACATCGTCATTAAAAGAAAAATTCACTCTAGTAACAACACTTTAAGTCATTAAAGAGATTTTAGTCATTTTAGTTTGTGTAGTCACTGTAGTCTGGTGAATTTCGGACTTGTTTTGTCCCTTAAATTTACATAACCAATTATGTAATTATATTTATCCATTTATAGTATTAATTACGTATCAGAGCAAATTTGTGAGTGTAGGCCTACACATTTTATCAGTTCTTCTTTATTGAATCAATTATTGGTTAATAATTGTAATAGCAATAATAATAATTAGGGTTCAGACCCCCGGAGCGGGAAAAACCTAGTGTCACACCCCCCCCCCCAAAAAAAAAAAAGCAACAAAGTTCCATGATGGATTTCTTCTTGTTAAAATAAGTCCACAGTTTAACAATGACAAGAACAAAAAGCACATAAATTGAAGGTCATGAGGTCAATGTGTTTAAAAACTGTACCATTTTTAAGTTATAGGAATATTTACATGAAATTTCCTTTTTAAAAAATTTTCCTTTCCTTGTCTTGATCGCAGTATTTTCTTGTCATTTTGCATCATCCTGTATATCCATTTTTTTGTTGGTTCGCGAACACCTTTAGATTTTGCATTTTGTTTTGTCACTACGCTGAATGCACCGTCCTTGTTCTGAAACAAGGTACTCCATATTTTAATAATTTCAGACCGAAAATAATCTGGAACTGGTACATTCCAGAGAGAATCATCTGATAAAATGAGACAGTTTTTTGTCCTTAATCCTTACACTTACAGTATCTTGTTTTGAATCAACATAATTAGCAGACATTTCTGTTTCCAAATCATCAATGTCTTTTACTTGTGTTTTCATGCCGATCTCTTCCATTTTCTCCGTTATTTGCTGAAAAGAACGCCTGCTGCTGGCATCGGTAGAATAAGTATCAATGTTAGGCTGAGGAACGTCTTTTGATGAACCCTGACCCTGGTCATCATTTGGGTTCTTGATATCGAAGTATGTATTCTGGTAGGGATTTTAGTATGTTGCGTATTTTCCTTTTTTGCTTTTCACTGCTGACAGCCACATGGCCGTTCAGATTTGTGCATGCCGTGTGGCATGATATACTAATCTTAAACAATAAAAATGCTTTAATTTTCTCATGTTAAAGACAACAAACAAAATAATTACTGACGACATTTAAAAAAACAACCGTCAGAGCACTGTCCAAAATACAGCACAGAAAGGTAGCAGGTAAAACCCAGCATTCGAAATATGACAATCGAGCTCAAATGTTAAGGGGCGATACTAGTGACGAATGGGGGGAAATATTTATTTTTGAGTATTTCTGTGTTTTGATATATAATATTAAATAAGTCATCATTTTTTTAACCCCTAAATGGGGGGGGGGGGGGGAATCATTTTTATGTTTTTAATTTTTACCTATTCTTATACTTAGAATCGCCCGACCACACCATATTTGGTATCAATGGAAAGCCCCATTTCTCAGAATTCAGATAAATATAGCCTCCTGTCATTTACAGAAGTTGCTGAACACTGCAATAATCGGCATGGAATTATGACTGTGTTTTTCTGACCTAAACATAGGCTCATCTTATTTCTGACGCATCAACCTTGAAATTTTAATAAAGCGCGCATTTGGATTGGTTACATTTGTGAAAAATGTATGTGTGACCGGATATTCTTTTATGAATCTTGGTTAGACGGAGCAGTGTGTGCTCTGTAAATATGCAATTTTTCAATTGGGTGTCACCCCTAAAATGGTGTCACCCGGTGCGTTCCGCACCCCCCTCGCAATGCAACTGCATATGGGAGAATATTATTACTAAAATTAGACCTAGGCTAAATATTACATATAGAATATAGGTCTAAGTCTTTAGTACAGTATTATCCTCACTATAAATTGTTGTAAAGTATGCTAGTTCCTACTAAATTTTGATTGCTTACATCTGGTTATATAGGCTAATTATTATAATAGTACACTGTCTAAACTGTCATTTAAAAATGGCCCATAATTTGGCTACCAAACATGAATAATATTTCTGGTACCCCAAGAAAGCTTAACAATGTTATGATTTCCTGATACCAAGTTCAGCCATACATTATAAGGAAATTACAAGCTATTTTATAACAAGAAAAAAATTATCAGATGCTATCAATAACTGATATCTAGGCTAAGTAAAAGGTGTGGGCTAAATGAAATGAGAAACTACGTAATTCTGCAGTCTTTTCAGTATAGTCACTATAGCAGGTGACAGGTAATAAATATACTAAAAAAGCTAATGCTTAATTTTAATCAGATATTATAGCCTTACTTCTACTAGCAAGTAATTGCAATAACAATTTAATAGTAGATATTGGGCCTATAATAATCTGTTTAGACTTAGACTTAATTAATACTACCATTTTACCTTATAAACCTTTCTGTTTTTTTTTTAATTACCAGGTTAATTATTTTAAGTGGAATTCATAATTAAAGAAATTTTTTTTTTTTTTTTTTTTTTTTTTTATTTTTTTTTTTTTTTTTTTTTATTTTATTTTATAATTAAAAAAATTTTTTTTTTTTTTTTTTTTTTTTTTTCAGCAGGAGAATATCTATTACTGTGGGAATTTTTTATTGCAATAGCTTCTTTAGTTGAATATGCCATTTTATTATGTAAAAAGGTGTTGGTTTAAACAATTGTCATTACTCACCAAACCCTATCCATGTTTGATATATATAAGTTAATTCATAATCTATGTGTTTTATTTCTTTCTATATTGTTGCAAAATTTGGTTGCAGTATATTTCAATGCAAGAAAGTTACAAACTAATTAGTTTTAAAAGGAGAAAACTTCATTCATAGTTTTTAGAATTAACCCTCTTCAGATGGCTGGGCAGATCTACCGGCCCAGATTGTATGGTAAATAAGACAAAAGGCCCATCAATCTTTCCACTGACAAAAGCCTGGATATTAGCTGCATTATCAATAGTCCCACTGACAAAAGCCCGGAGATTGGCTGGATTCATCAATCATCCTACTGACAAAAGCCTGGAGATGGGCTGGATTCATCAATCATCCTACTGACAAAAGCCTGGAGATGGGCTGGATTCATCAATCATCCTACTGACAAAAGCCTGGAGATGGGCTGGATTCATCAATCATCCTACTGACAAAAGCCTGGAGATGGGCTGGATTCATCAATCATCCTACTGACAAAAGCCTGGAGATGGGCTGGATTCATCAATCATCCTACTGACAAAAGCCTGGAGATGGGCTGGATTCATCAATCATCCTACTGACAAAAGCCTGGAGAATGGCTGGATTCATCAATCATCCTACTGACAAAAGCCTGGAGATGGGCTGGATTCATCAATCATCCTACTGACAAAAGCCTGGAGATGGGCTGGATTCATCAATCATCCTACTGACAAAAGCCTGGAGAATGGCTGGATTCTCTTCCTACCAGCTAATTAGATTACTTCTCACTTTTTTTGTTCATCTCAACATTTTAATGGGCACTTCCATTGTAATTTTGTGGTGTTCTATTATTTTATATCAATATTCTTGTGCGCCTAGTGACCCCTAAAAATGCTTTTAAAATATGTTACCGGTACTTTGAAATATACTGAACAGGATAAGAGCCCCAGGGTAATATTTAATGCATTTTTTCACATTGAATTTCATTCAAATATGGGCAAGGACTTATTTAGGCTTCAAAAATCGTAAAATTTAACACAATTCTGTAAGTTAGACAATTTTATTCTAAGTGTACTCAAAAATTGCAGGCATAAATGATGCAAATCAGGCTGTCTCATTTGCAAATATGTTGAGATTGCAGTTAGAGTCATAAAGATTGTATTCGTTTATTCAATTCCCTACAAGAATATATCTAGTTTTAAATTTGTAAAGTGATTAGTTTATTTTTTATAAATTCTTTTCCAAAGTAAATACACAGCTTGTGAAAGGGCCCTGTCTTTTTGGCACAGACAGTCCAAAATGGCTCCATCTCAAGAGGGTTAATTAGGCCTAAATGGGAAATGGCTTAAAAATGCAATTACAAAATTCATAACATTTCTTTAATAAATTCTATTTAGGTTTTTTATTTTTTTCATGCCTAAAATTTGATTTTTTTCCAAAGCTCCTAATTGTTCCTGGAAAATATGGATGTACTAAAGCCACACATTATTCATGTGGGAAATAGATGCTATAGACAAAATCCTCTTAAATATGGTGCAAGTTTCAATCCTGAAGAAGAAAGTTTTCAAGAAGGTATTTATTACATCACTTTTTAATTTTCTTTGCTACTTTCAATAGTATCTGTGATGTAGATCTGCTCTTATATTTCTTAGATTTATATTTATTTATTTATTTACAGTTAAGATTAAAACAAAACTAATTGATAAATAAAAGTAACTCTGGTCAAAAGTTTGCTCTTATAAATATGTTTAACTCTCACAAAAAAATTTTAAATAACTATGGAGCGTTTTAAAAAAATTTTGTAAGTTTAAAGATAGATACCAAATAATATTTCAAAATATATAAGTGCATGAAAATTTTACTTTTTTATGGATAATATCAGTTTCTGATTTTCCATAAAGATTATATATAAAGAGCAACATGAATCCAAAATTGTGCACATATTTGCTAAGAATCCTTTTAAAAAAATCAATGGCTCCTTTTGTTGTATTTCATCCAAAAAATTATGTCTTGGAATAATGGCTTCTTTTGTTGTATTTTAACTAAAACATCATGTCTTGGAACAATGGCTTCTTTTGTTGTATTTCATCCAAAAATTATGCCTTGGGACAATGGCTTCTTTTGTTGTATTTCATCCAAAAAATTATGTCTTGCAATAATGGCTTCTTTTGTTGTATTTCATCTAAAACATCATGTCTTGGAATAATGGCTTCTTTTGTTGTATTCTAACTAAATCTTCATGTCTTGGAAAATGGCTTCTTTTGTTGTATTTCATCCAAAAAGTTATGTCTTGGAATAATGGCTTCTTTTGTTGTATTTCATACAAAAAATTATGTCTTGGAATAATGGCTTCTTTTGTTGTATTTCAACTAAAACAACATGTCTTGGGAAAATAGTTTCTTTTGTTTTATTTTAACTAAATCATGTCTTAGAATAAATTGCTTCTTTTGTTGTATTTCAACTTATACATCATGTCTTGGAGTAATTGCTTCTTTTGTTGTGTTTCAACTAAATTATCATGTCTTGGAATAATGGCTGCTTTTGTTGTATTTCATCTAAAACTACATGTCTTGGAATTAATGGCTTCTTTTGTTGTATTTCATCTAGTACATCATGTCTTTTAATTAATGGCTTCTTTTTTTGTAATTCACCTAAAGCATCATGTCTTGGAATAATGGATTTTTTTGTTGTTTTTTATCTAAAAAATGTATTTGAATAAATGGCTTCTTTGTTGCATTGTACCTAAAACATTATGTCTTGGAATAATGGCTTCTTTAGTTGCCAGCAATCATTAATTACAGCACTAAGGAAATTCACAACTTTATCACAGATTAAGATCCACTTGATATCTATATTTTTTGTTTGAAATTGCAGATATCACTAACTTTTTTTAAAAATAAACTTCTTTTCATCTTTATGTAAATAGTGTCACAGAAATTGTTATAGCAAGATGAAATAAGCCTCAAAATTGTTTTAAAGAGATACTAAAATTAAAGTACCGGTAATTAAGTTAGCAATAGGAAATTGCCCCTATTTGCCTATCACATTCTAAGACTTAAAAGAACGAACAAATTGCCCCTATTTGCCCATCACACTCTAAGACTTAAAAAGACCAACAAATTTCCCATCCCATATTTTCCAATCACATTCTAAGGCCTTAAGCCTTAAAAAGACCAAAAAATTCCCCATATTAGCCCATCAAATTCCAAAGCCTTAGAAAGACCAGCAAATTGCCCCTATTTGCCCATGACATTCTATGACCTTAAAACATCAACAAATTGCCCATATTTGCCCCTCACATTTAAATGCCTTATTAAGACCCACAAAATGCCCATATTTGCCCCTGACATTCTAAGGCCTTATAAAGTAGAACAATGCATTATTATGTCAATTTACCATAGGAGCAGTTAAATAAAACAACAGCACAGCTTAGTTTTAATTCAAAATAATTCTCAGCAGCAAGTAAGTGTGTTAGTACGAAGTGGAAAATGTAGTGAAATATGAAAAAATTAGAAAGCCTTTTATCGCAAATTTTGTGTAATCAGCGTAGTGCCAAGTGTCTAACCTGACTACCGTCCAGTCTGAGAAACACCAATCTAGGGTTTCATTGGGTTTATTTAGTTAAAATATAACTTAAAGTTGTTCGTAAACTGAGACAAAATGCTCATCAATGTGTATTTATTGATGTAACTTGGGTTTATTTAGTTAAAATATAACTTAAAGTTGTTAGTAAATTGATACAAAATTTTCATAAATGTGTATTTATTGATGTAACTTGCATCAGACTTAAATTATTCTTACAGATCTGAAATTGGAGCTGAATTTTGCTGATGAGTTTTGTGACAGCACTTTAGATATAACTGAAACAAAGAGAGGATTAAGTTTGTCACTGCTGGTACCTGACACATACTTTAAGTATATCATTGGTAAAAAGGGGGAGACTAAAAAACGAATGGAAGCAGAGACCCAGACCCAGATTTGTGTACCTAAACCAGGAGACAGGCAGCAACATCTAGGTATGCATAACCTTTTATTTTAATTTTTACATTTAATTACATTTTAACTTTTTTAACATCTCTCTCCCAACAATACCTCTCTCCCAACATCTCCTCTCTCTCAACATCTCCTCTCTCTCAGCAGCTCATCTCTCTCAACATCTCCTCTCTCTCAACATCTCCTCTGTCTCTCTCAACAACTCATCTCTCTCAACATCTCATCTCTTCCAACATCCCATCTCTCAACATCTCCTATCTCTCAGCAGCTCATCTCTCTTAACATCTCCTCTCTCATTCAAAAACTCATCTCTTTCAAGTTTCATCTCTCCCAACATCCCATCTCTCTCAACATCTCATCTCTCCCAACATCTCCTCTCTCTCAAAAACTCAACTCTCTCAACATCTCATCTCTCCCAACATCCCATCTCTCTCAATATCTCATCTCTCCCAACATCTCCTCTCTCTCTCAACAACTCATCTCTCTCAACATCTCATCTCTCCCAACATCCCATCTCTCTCAATATCTCATCTCTCCCAACATCTCCTCTCTCTAAACAACTGGTTCTGGTAATGTTTTGTTGCTGCATCCATGTACTGGCATCTTTGCAACAGTTGGGGGTATGATGTTGCTATTCTAACAGCTCCTAGCTGATGACAGGGCAACCTTGAAGCTTTCGACTGATGTCGAGTTCACAGTGGCATCGTTCAGGTTGTTCCACGCTATTATTGTGCGTGGGAAGAAAGAATGTTGATACTGCACTGTGTTGCACTGAGGCACTTTGAAGCATTTGCTATTGTTTCTGGTGTAATTGTTTATGGGAATGTCACTGGTGAAGTCCGTGTTCAGTGAGCGTTTTGCTCTGATCAGTCTACTCGGCTTCTGTGGGGTGAGGTACGTGCCTGCTGGGATGGCCGGCACCAGTCCCATGATCACTTTATATAAGAATGTCATCTCTTCCAAACAATTATGATCTTTTTTTCTCCTCTGCTAATGAAATACCATTTTAACTTAAAGATTATAACATTAAATTTTATGACAACCTACTTTTTATCTGTTGATCAGGAAATGCTTTTCAAATGACTACTCACTTTGATTTTAAAAAAATGACTTCTTTTTAAATACATCAATAACCAGATGATAAATCACTTTGAGTACAGTAATTATAATTAAAACTCAAGGCAGCCTGCGGCTGAGGTTGAATAGGTCCTTGGAGTCTGCAAGTTTACCTAGGAAACCTTCGGGGCTACACGCCTGCCTAACTATGTGGAGCTACAGTTTAGGGTACATGATTACTTTTTCTCGGATTCCTGCCTTTCCTATCTAACCGAACTTATTTCTGTCTATTCACCCCTTCGACAGCTTCGCTCCTCCGCAGACATGCGTATTCTGTCCATTCCCAAGACACACTAAACATATGGTGAACAATCTTTCTCTTTCTGCGCCCCCAAACAATGAAATTCTTTGCCACTACACATCCGCAATATACCAACCACCCAGGCATTCAAAACTGCACTCAAGACACATCTCATTAAACTATACTACCCTGACTGATTCCCCTCCTCTGACCGATAAATGATCTTGTTCGCTGGCGTCAATGGTTTGCCTTGTAAAGTCTTGGGGTTCATGCTGTTCTTTACTTCATAATTGTATTATATTTTAATGTCATAATTATGTCTCTTTTGATAATATTTTTGTGTACAGCGTGGTGAGCCCAGCCCTAGGCTGGGGTACCGCGCTATAAAAGACAACTAATTATTATTATTATTATTATTACATCTGCCACTAAAGGATTGTAGATATCGATTATGAAATTTGCAACCCCCATTAGGGACAGGTCTCCTAGGCAGCGGTTTCATCACCCTCACTAGCTAGTTTTTGTGAAGTGATGTTTAAAATTAAACACTACTAAGATCTATGTGGTTGATAGCTCTAGGGAAAACTTCCCAAGAAGATACCAGTGAAGGTCCTCATATCTAATTAGCCAGAAAACATAGGATTATGTTTTTATCCCCAGGGTGGCGGCGGCCGTCTTAGTGTGGATTAATATGTAAGGTCAAATTTTAAAAGGAAGTCATCCCTATGGCATCTGGTGCAATTCCTTATGAATGATTCTCAGTAGTGATTGATATGTCAGTCTTAATTTTCTCCTTCTGTCCAATTGTTTCTTGAATGACTGGTATCTTTCTATTTCTTAGGACTTTTCAGTTATTTTCATTATATTATTTTACAACCTCTGAAACTGGTTCAGTTATTTTCATTAGATTACTTTACAACCTCTGAAACTGGTTCAGTTATTTTTATTAGATTATTTTACAACCTCTGAAACTGGTTCAGTTATTTTCATTATATTATTTTACAACCTCTGAAACTGGTTCAGTTAATTTTATTTTTTATTTTATTATTTTACTTTACAACCTCCGAAACTGGTTCAATTTTGTTTTAATAGAAATTTACAGATAAAATACACATTTATTGAATTAAATCTTTATTTACTTGATAACAATATAAAATACATGTTGAATTACAAGGGACCTCTTTTTTCAGTTATCTATGGCCATGAACGCAAAGGAATAGTCTCGGCAAAAACTAGAATTGATGTACTTATTGACTCAGCGCGTCAACATCAACCTTTCACTCACTTTCTTTCAATACCAGTCACTTCACCAGATGTCATTGAAAGATTTCAATTTTTCAAGGCAGAGGTCCTGGACAGGTTCAGTGGGGTAAATTATCCATGTCTTAACATTAAAGTTTTAGTGCAATACAAATGATGCAGATGTATACTTAGTCATATAACTTTATAAAGTGGCCAAAGAAAAGTCAATGATACAGAAATCCTACAACGGAACAGCTTTCTCGGAGTCCAAATGCTTTTATGAAAATGGACATGACATTTAGCCTGGACATGACTGATTAACTGGACATGACAGATGGGCTGGACATGACTGGGCTGGACATGTTGCAAGAAAGCCAGACTGCCTAAAAAATTAATTTACATTCAACTATCCAAAAGGGGTCATCCAAAGTATGGTGAGGTGGGGGAGGGGGTTTGTTCAAATGCAGACAGAAGTTGTTGGTGTAAAGGATCTTGCAGACATCTGAAAGATGGCTTTTTTTTATTTGCTCCTTTGGTGTATTCCTCTATAGCTGATGCACTAAGGAAATTTCTAAAAATATGTATAATGATAAATCAATAAGAAGTTGGTAAAGACTCCTTAAGGGGTATCACTCTGTATCAAGGGTGGCCAACATGAGGCCCGCGTGCCACAGCTGCCAGCCCGGAGTCATGTTGCGGCCCGCGGAGCTAGGTCAAATGAACATAAATGATAACTTTATTTACACATCACCAAAATAATATTACATCATGTGTAGTTGGAATCATATTTTTTTTTAATTATAGGTAGGAGAAGTTGGAAATATCTCACATATTTAAAAAAAAATCATTGGTTTTGAGCTATTTCAAATATCCTGCTATTTGACACTCAAGGGGACTTGGTTTTTTGATTGACTCTAGGTGTTGATAAAATTTAAATGAGACTACAACTTCTAATATATATGTTGTGTGGTCTTCAGCATCTTTAGGAAGCTCACAACACTATCAGGCTCATGCTCATAACTACTTTCATTCTCACAACACTATCAGGCTCATACTCACAACACTATCAGGCTCATACTCATAACAACTTTCATTCTCACAACACTATCAGGCTCATACTCATAACTACTTTCATTCTCACAACACTATCAGGCTCATACTCATAACTACTTTCATTCTCACAACACTATCAGGCTCATACTCATAACAACTTTCATTCTCACAACACTATCAGGCTCATACTCATAACTACTATCATTCTCACAACACTATCAGGCTCATATTCATAACTACTTTCATTCTCACAACACTATCAGGCTCATACTCATAACTACTTTCATTCTCACAACATTATCAGGCTCATATTCATAACTACTTTTATTCTCACAACGCTATCTGGCTCATACTCATAACTACTTTCATTCTCACAACACTATCAGGCTCATATTCATAACTACTTTCATTCTCACAACACTATCAGGCTCATATTCATAACTACTTTCATTCTCACAACACTATCAGGCTCATATTCATAACTACTTTCATTCTCACAACACTATCAGGCTCATATTCATAACTACTTTCATTCTCACAACGCTATCTGGCTCATACTCATAACTACTTTCATTCTCACAACACTATCAGGCTCATATTCATAACTACTTTCATTCTCACAACACTATCAGGCTCATACTCATAACTACTTTCATTCTCACAACACTATCAGGCTCATATTCATAACTACTTTCATTCTCACAACGCTATCAGGCTCATATTTATAACTACTTTTATTCTCACAACGCTATCTGGCTCATACTCATAACTACTTTCATTCTCACAACACTATCAGGCTCATACTCATAACTACTTTCATTCTCACAACACTATCAGGCTCATACTCATAACTACTTTCAATCCAGCTTGACAAAGTTCTGTGTTATTCTGTACTTTTGTTCTATTATCACCACTATGTCTGGAGAGATTTTAAGATTGGTGTTAAAATACAAATTTATTGGACTGAATAAGAAAAGATTTAAGAAGTTTTCAAAAAAACTGGACTATAAACTACTTTTCATGGAAATTAAAACAAAGCCCACATTTTTGATTTACAAGGAATCTGTTTCAGTTTCTGTTTTAAAAGATTATTACATCAAACAAGACAAGGAGACGAAACATGCAAATAAGTTTGATTAATACAAAGGGCAATTTTAACAAAATCAAGCAAATAACTTTTTTTAAAAAATTATTCTGCACAACAAAAGATATTACTAGAGCGGGTTCAGAGTCAATATGCTATGTAAAAACTAGTTATTCAGTAGCCATGATACGAGCAAAAAAATGGATGGTGAAATGGTCAAGGAATGTTTGGAGAGCATTGTTGAAATTCTGTGTCCAGAAAAGAAGGAGGATTTCTAAAAAATAAGCCGGTCTGGTCAGACTATTACTATCGGCATTAAGATGACATTGGAAAAAATATTGAAGATAACTTGAACAGTCATTTTTATTTTATTTACATTTATAATATTTTATTCTCTAGCATTTGATAAAAGCACAGATATGGCAGATACTTCCCAACAGGCAATTTTTATCAGGGATGTTGAAGTCCATTTTAAAAAGACAGAAGAATTAGCGGCATCGCATCCACTTAAGGACACTACTAAGTCACGAGATTTGTTAGAGGCAGTTACATCGATATTGAATCACTTTTCGTTACAACTTAACAACTTATCGGGCTTAACAATGTATAGTTCTCACAAAGATTTAGTCAAACTGATTGCCCATGAGGCCTCCAAAGCTGGTAATACTTCAATGCTTAATTTTCATTGAATTATTAATCAAGAGAATTTATGTTCGAAGTCCTTCAAAATGGACCGTCTCATGAAAGTGGTCGTCAAAATAGTGATCGTCATTAAGTCGAATGGGTTGAATCACTTTCAGTTCCAAAAATTGCTAAAGTCGTTAGAATCAGTTTATAATAATGTTACATTTTATGCAGAAGTATATAGCCTCTTCTTCCATGACCTATGCCAAAATGTTGAAAGAGTGTTGGATTTGCAGCAAGAAATACAATCATTCTTTGCAAGCAAGTCAATAAGTATCCCAGAGTTTGAAGACAAAAAGTGGGTATGCGACTTTACATTTCTGGTCGATATAACTAGCCACCTAAATGATGTTAAAAATCCTCTGCAGTGAAATGATCAGTTAATTACTGAGATGTGTGATCATACTTCTGCATTTCAAATTCAACTTGGTTTTTGGGTACTGCCAAGATCTGACTTATGTTTTACTAGTGAGAGGTATCTCTCATATGTGATCTCCCCTTGGCACTCTGTCTAAGAATTGGTTTAATTAAGCCAAATTACCACACAGACATGATAACCTATATATATACCTATAAACTAAAATGAAGTCTTTGTTAAAGGATAAAATAATTACAAGTATTTATTGAATAAGGGTATTTACAATTTCCTTCGTAGTACACTCTTGATGACTAATATAAATAAAAAAAGGATATAATGAAATTATAAATGTATATTAAAGAAAAACAAGTGTCCCTAACAGACTGACAGTGTTATCATTATTAATGCTATATTTGCTCAAGGTTTTTATGTTCAATCTTTGTAGACTTAGCCTTTATAGTTGCACTGATGATCTCGGTGGATCAAAAATGGGTGGGAGTTCCTTCTGTTCATGAAGCGTGTCCTCCGTTCTGGTCTTCGGACCTTTTCCAAGCGTAGCGAAGTCGGAGTTCCCTGTCATAGAATCTGTGGGATCTCTGCGATGGGGAAGTTGACTCTCCAGCGATAAATCTTGGGTAGCAAGAGTCCCTGGATCTCGAGGTCCTTCTAGTAGCCATAGGTAGTTTGATGTGGGACATAAACTGATCCCCTAGTTCCAGCTTCAAGGTACGTCGGTCCAGTAAGAATAAACTAGGCTAAAGGCAAAATTAATGATACAAAATAGATAAGTATCCAGGCGAATAGTCACAAGCAACGAATTCAGATCGAGGTATTGAAGGTGACATGGCTTCTTCATATTCATCTAATGTGTGGATGGTTTTATCATTAGAAGTCTTTGTCATTGTCGGCATAAGCATATGTTGCTTCGCGACAATGTTGGACCAAGTAAGCATTTTAATTAAAGTATGAGACATTCAATCATTAACAAACATTTATTTTATAGTTAAATATATATATATGTTTTTATTGTCATTTTGTTAAAAGAGACATGGGCGAGTCTGAACAACAACCTTCCATCTCTATAATGGGATGGTAGTGTGTCGTAGCCCGCGGCGAAGGCAATATTAGAATACATAATATATATCAATCACGATCAAATCCCTGCTACATAATTATATGAACTTTACAAGTGCAATAATAAAATATCAAAATCATGGTTGCATACTTACTAGTATTCTAGGTTGCAGCTATGAAGTCTTAAGTTTAGTTACCTCCAGCGTTCACAGTCAAGTGATAAGATCATAAAAGACATCTTCTGATTTGTTCTTGCTATTTAATTAAGTTGGGTGATGATTTAATTGGGTGGTTTAAATGTTGTTTGTTCTCTTATCCAATGATAATCACTTTTAATGTTAAAATGAATAAAACAAAGTAGGGTTAAACCTGAAAAAAGGAACGTAACAAAAAAATGAACATGTCGGCAGGAAGCCTTCGTCAGCGAACAAAACAACAGAAAAAACAGAATAATATTAAAAATAGCACTTAGCTTAGAAGTAGTATCCCTGGACAGCAAATGAATTGTGAATACTTTCCATAGATTTATCCTTTTTTTTTGTACACACTAAGATTTAATAATATTTATTTTTAAATTTTCAGGAAAAAGGTGTTGATGAAAGTTTGTTCCAGAATCCAAAAAGACTGCATTTGACCTTAGGGACCCTGGTCCTTCTTAATGATAATGAGATTGAGAAGGCGACATCATTGCTGAAAGCTTGTGAAGAGGAGCTAATTAAGTAAGACTTTATCGCTTTTAATTCAGGATCACAAATAATAATTTTCTAGGTATGTATGTATGGCTGTAACTTTTGCACACAAAATAAAATTAACAGTATTTGGCACTACTTGGTGCGTTTTGATAAATTGCGTTACTTGACTGCATGCTTTACTTGACTGCATGCGTTACTTGACTGCATGCTTTATTAAGTACCTTTTGTAGGATATGAGGTGAGTGAACATGACAACCCTCGCCAATGATTCTTATTATGCAGTCTTGAGGAAACTGCTCCTAAACAAACCGTTTCATCCCAGCTACAGTGTGAATTAGTCACAACATAGAAACCACGTAAACCCTAGTAGAGGGCGTCTTCGTAACAACTGTCGTCTGTCCAGGATGGGGAGGGGGGACATAGAGACATAAAATATATCCACCCCAGCCCCTAAAAAGTCCGGCCCGGTTGCTGTGCGAGCAGCACCCCGGCCGGCCAGGTGTTCCTTCTCTGATTTGCTGCCCTCTTGGATACTACTTGTAAGCTAAGTGCTATTTTTTAATTTTGCTCTGTTTTTTCTGTTTTGTTCGCTGACGAAGGCTTCCTTCCAACACGTTCGTTGTTTTGTTGCGTTCCTTTTTCAGGTTTAACCTTACTTTGTTTTACTAATCTCATAACAGTGTAAAGAGAAGCATTAGATCCAACAAACAACAGCGTAAAGATAAGCATTAGATCCATCAAACAACAGTGTGAAGAGAAGCATTAGATCCAACAAACATCAATTTAGAAATGTAGATGAGCATCCTTATGTAGTCAAAGGAATCAAATTGAATGTAAACAAAACTTATATACGTTTTTAAAAAAATATATTTTCTAAGCCCAGTCATACATACATAGAGAATAATTTGTTTTGATTACCCTACAAAAATGTTGCTGTTTTTTATAAACTGAATATATTATATTGCAAGAAATGGTAATAAACTCTTGCAAGTCTCTAGAATTGTAAAAAATGTTTTGCATTATTTAAAAGAAATGAGTGAACAGTGTTATTTGAAAACCTGAAAAAAAAGAACACAACAAAGGAACGTTTCTCTCTCTTATTACTTTTCTTTATAATTTGAAAAGTAGGTTATTGCATATTCTCAAAATTAAGGCTGTTCCAATGGTTGTCTATCTTGCCAACAATTAATATTTTAACTTTTAAGGAACATTTTTAATTATGGTAATTATTCTGAAAATGCAATGTTATTTCAAAGTTAGTTTCCTTTTATATCCAGATATATAAAAGGAATTAGGTTATTTAACAATTAAAATTTCAGACCTTTTCTTCAAAATGAAACATTGCAAGTACCCATATGTGGTCTTGAGTACATGAATGATGATCCTGCAGAAGTTGATGTCTTATATGCCAAAGTGCAACCTGGAAAGTCCTCTCAAAGGTAGAGAATAGCTTGCTATTAAATGAAGAAAATAAAAACCATTTAGATACAAATCTTCATTCCATTTTATAAACCCATGTCATTAGTATGATTTCAGTTAGATCCTTTTTGTAGGATACTTTCAGTTAATCCCTTCTTGTAGAATAGTTTCAGTTAATCCTTTCTTGTAAGATAATTTCAGTTAATGCCATCCTGTAGGATGGTTTCAGTTAATCCCATCTTTTAGGATGGTTTCAGTTAATCCCATCTTGTAGAATCATTTCAGTTAATCCTTTCTTGTAGGATAGTTTCTGTTAATCCCAAAAAATCTCATCCTCACTCATGGCGTTTCCTTTCAAAATATTATATCTTTAATAGTAACATGTTATAGTATTTAGTATCAGATATGTTTCTCATTTATCATAGCCCAAATATTGTGTCGATTTTCTGAATACATAATTAAATATGCGATGAAACATAGTAACGAGTGATTCACATAACAAGCCAAACTTAAGCTTTGTTATTATAAATTAAAGTTAATGAAGTCAATCATAAATATCAATATATATGATAATGGTATTTTTTTTTTATCTTCAGATTGCAGGAATTAGTTGACATAATTGTAAATAAGTTTACAAGTGAGGGTGTGGTGAAACGTGAACATGATCATGTGAAAATGCATGTCACTGTGATGAATACACTCATGAGGAAAGATCCCTCTGCCATATCTGAAAACCAATCTGCCAAACATGGTATCAAGCTGCGTGAGTCGTTTGATGCCAGGGAAATTCTCAAGGTGAGTGTAAAGGGCTCATGAGTTTCATAACATTTGAACGCATTAAAAAAAAAAGAACAATTGCTAAAGACACACCTTTTGTTTTGAAATAAAACCTTTTCAACCAATTGATGATATAGTATTGGAGTTTAAACACAAAAACCTAAATACTTGGCAGTGAAATTTTAAGTCATAAAGAGATATTTGTTGAATATAGATTTTAATGTCCTTTGCCATGTTTTCTGTGCCTAGAGCATGTAGATATGATCTGAGGGGAAGTTTGTTGTGAGTCATTTACATAGCAGTGTCTTTTATGAGTCATTTACACAGCAGTGTCTTTTATCAGTCATTTACACAGCAGTGTCTTTTATGAGTCATTTACACAGCAGTGTCTTTTATGAGTCATTCACACAGTAGTGTCTTTTATGAGTCATTTACACAGCAGTGTCTTTTATGAGTCATTTACACAGTAGTGACTTTTATGGGTCATTTACACAGCAGTGACTTTTATCAGTCATATTTACAGCAATATCTTTTATCAGTCATTTACACAGCAGTGACTTTTATCAGTCATTTTTACAGCAATGTCTTTTATGGGTCATTTACATAGCAGTGACTTTTATGGGTCATTAACACAGCAGTGTCTTTTATCAGTCATTTACACAGTAGTGCCTTTTATCAGTCATTTACACAGCATTGTCTTTTATCAGTCATTTACACAGCAGTGTCTTTTATCAGTCATTTACACAGCAGTGTCTTTTATGAATCAATTACATAGCAGTTTGTAAAACTATAACTAAATGTGACAATATTTACATGTAACTGAAACTATAGAGCAGGCCTGCACAACTCAAAATATAAGGCGGCCATAATACTTAATGAAAAACTTGTGCAGGCCAGAAGAAAATAGGACAGGGCTTGTGCGGGCCGAAAGAAAATATGACATAGACAGAAAATATTAAGAAAATAAAAAGAATAAAGAATATTTTGTTACTTCCCGGGCCGCAAAGTGGGTGCAGGCCTGCTATGGAGGGTTTACGTGTAATAATGGGCCATGAAAGTTTAACTGAATGTAGTCTAGGAAATATCTAGGTCAATTCAAGGTGAGGCATTTGGTGGGACATTCATTCAATATCTTTTATAATGAAATGGGATTTTTTGTTATCAATGCAATTATGATTCAAACAGTGCTGCACTGAAATGTATTGTTCAATGCCAGAAAGATTAAACATGATGCAGGTTACATTATAAAACACAATGGATAAATAGTGTGTGTGTGTTGGTCTGAAGCAGAAAACACTTTTGAACGTCATGATGTGGCACAATGAAATTGAAACTAAATGTTATCTCATAAATGTTCTGATTTCAGTTTCATTTCAATATTTATTTATTTATTGTTGTTTCAGACATTCCAAGATTTTAACTTTGGCTCACAACATATTGCAAGCATTCAACTGTCACAACGTCACAGCACAAATGTCAATGGATATTATAACTGTGCTTCATATATTTCTTTGCCATAATGCCAATTCCAATAAATATCTTATTAGTGCAGATAGACTTCAGATGGTGTGGTAGTAGATACATATTTAATGCAATAGAAAACCAGTAATATGTAATAGAAGGTGTCAATGAGAAGTCAGCAATATACTACTCTAGAAATGTCTATAGTTGACCTGCATTTGGAAATCAGCAAAGTTTTAAATAGAAATGTCAAGTGTAGTCAAGGCATTCTTGAATCTTCAAAAATACAATTATGAGATGGTTGAAACGTTTTATTCATATGTCTATTATTAAATACAAATTAAATGTATTACTCGGAAATATTACAGCAAAGATTGAATATCACTGAGATTATTGTTGAATTTGTTATTTATTGTTCTGTGGATAAATTTATAAAATAAAAGATTATGGTTTTTTATTAGGTACGAGTAACTAAAATGCATGATCTGTTTATGTGCAAGCTGGGGGACTTTCAAAGGATTGTAAATCACTTTAAATCTTAGTGCTCTAGCCAGTGGGAAATGATTCTATTTACTTACTCATGCCTTTTAACCAGCCTGGGGCATAGGCTGTCTACAAGAATTTTCCAGTCATCTCAGTCCTGTGCTTTCCTTTCCCATTGTTCCAGGAGTGTCCTATACTTATTGTATCTGCCTCTAGCTCCCATCTCCATATATTCTTAGGACTTCTCTTTTTCCCTGTGGATTCCATGATAGGTCTGGTGATGGTATTTGGGGCTTTGTAAAGAGTGTGCCCATCTACCTTCATCTTTTCAGGATGATCCACCATTTCTGTCAATGGTGCTGCCCAAGTATGTAAAGGCCTCAACTTCTTCCAGTGCATTTCCTACCAGAGAGATGGATGCTCTTGGTTGGCCGAGTTGACCTTCATGATCTTTTTCTTGCTTTTATTCATATTGAGTCCGACCTTTGCTGAAATGGTGGCTACCTCTTTAATCTTTTCCTGCATTTGTTTCTGGTTTTGGGACAGAAGTGAATTGTCATCTGCAAAGTCTACCACCATGCAGTTCATTTTTTTATTAGAGCCTTGAATGATCCTGAATAGTTTTCCTGGTACCTCATAATGCCGGAGAAGTTTCCACAAGGTTTGTTGGTCCAGACTATCAAAGGCGATTCAGTTGATAAAGCTTAGTTTACTGCTCTCTGCCCTGGTGCTGCTGTTGTTAACTGCTCTCTGCCCTGGTGCAGCTGTCGTTTACTGCTCTCTTCATTTCTTTCCTCTCGTTTATTTTTTGCACCATGGTGAGTGAGAGCAAGTCTCTGTTGTTGAGTGAGAGCCAAGCTTTGTGTTGAGTGAGAGCCAAGCTTTGTGTTGAGGGAGAGACAAGCTTTGTTTTGAGTGAGAGCCAAGCTTTGTTTTGAGTGAGAGCCAAGCTTTGTGTTGAGTGAGAGCCAAGCTTTGTGTTGAGTGACAGCCAAGCTTTGTGAATTGGTTTCAACGGTTCTAATAAATCATGACACATGGATGTTACAGACATCTTTATGTTTTGCATTGAAGTTCTATCTGGTTATCAATTTTTGTTGTCTTGCTGTTCTGCAACTTATTGTTCCAGGTAACTCTGAATTCCTGTAGTTTTTGATTGTTTGCCCCATGGGCTTTGCGGGTATATTATGCAGGGATTTGACGCCCCCATTAACGAGTTCATTAGCCTCGTTGAAGTCTGCCACTCTTTCATTTCTCTCTCTCCTATACCATGCCCTCTGTTTTCTTTGCCAATCTTAGCATTTAGATCTCCCTATGTATGCAGTCTTGGGGGAACTGCTCCTAGGCAACCGTTTCATCCCAGCCACCACAGTGTGAATTAGTCACAACGTAGAAACCACGTAAACCCTAGTAGAGGGCGTCTTCGTAACAACTGTCGTCTCCCCGGGATGGGGAGGGGGAACATAGAGATATAAAATATATCCACCCCAGCCCCTAGAAATTCCGGCCAAGTTGCTGTGAGAACATCAACCGGCCGGCCAGGTGTTCCTTCTCTGATGCCGTCTTCTTCTTCTATATCCTAAGGGCCCACGATCAATTTATTGATCATTTTGGCTCCTATGCATGTAGATGGGATTTGCAATGTTTCTGTTACTGGTGGTGATGAGGAAATTATGCACTAGGGGTTTGAAGGCTTGAGGCAATAGACACAAATGTGTCTAGTGTTGTCGCCTCAACTGTTCCTTTTGAAAGATGGTTCCAGTCTCTGATTGTCTTGGGCAGGAATGAGCAGCTCCTATACTGGCGCTGCCTGACTGAAATAAAGACCACTAGGGGACAGGTTGAAGGCCAGTTGGGAGTAGCGGGGACTGCGATGGGGAAGACTTTGGCTCGATAGCTTGCAGATTTTCTTAAGTAGATTAAATTAGATATCCCATTATAATATTTAGATCTCTAACTGGAAATGAATCCAGTATAGCTTGTAGTCATTGTATAAAGCTTCGTACTCATCTTCCTTACTATCATTGATATGTGCATAGCACTGTATTACATTCATAACCCTGTATTACATTCATATTTATTTTCTTCTTCTTGATTCGGAATGTTGCTGTAATAATACTCGAATCATGTACTTCCCATCCTATCAATGTCCCTTGTCCTAGCAGTCTTATCATGAATGCGACTCATATATGTGTTGATAATTGTCCTCCTTGTGCCCTGAGTACTTGCGTGTTTCTCCTAAGGCCAATGTATTGTTCTCCTCATGCCCTGACAATGTTAATTGCCTGTTTCACACATGGTTCTAACATTCCACAAGCCAATGTTTATTGTCTGTTTTACACATGGTTCTAACATTTCATGAGCCAATGTTTATTGCCTGTTTCACACATAGCTCTAACATTATATGAGCCAATGTGTATTGCCTGTTTCACGCATGGTTCTAACATTCCATGAGCCAATGTGTATTGCCTGTTTCACACATGGTTCTAACATTCCATGAGCCAATGTTTATTGCCTGTTTCACACATGGTTCTAACATTCCACGAACCAATGTTTATTGCCTGTTTCACACATGGTTCTAACATTATATGAGCCAATGTTTATTGCCTGTTTCACACATGGTTCTAACATTCCATGAGCCGATGTTTATTGCCTGTTTCACACATGGTTCTAACATTCCACGAGCCAATGTTTATTGCCTGTTTCACACATGGTTCTAACATTCCATGAGCCAATGTGTATTGCCTGTTTCACACATGGTTCTAACATTCCACGAGCCAATGTTAATTGCCTGTTTCAAACATGGTTCTAACATTCCACGAGCCAATGTTTATTGTTAATTTAGAATTGGGCTGATGACAGTTATATTATATATAAGCTGTTATATAAGCAAATAAACAAGCTGCTTTTAGAATTAAATTTTATTTTATTTATTTTGACATCAAAACATATCCAAACATAGGAATTAACAATGACTGATATACAAATAACTTAACTGAAATCAATCAATCAAAATTTTGTCTTCTGGACTGATGTTAATGTTTATTAAATAGATTAGCTTAATTAAATGTTCCATGAAAAACTGAATTGATAAGACATTTGAGCTTAAAAGTTGTTGCCAAGTAGAGCAACATTTATTCAAGTAAGAGTTACAGGAAAACTAAATAACATTTATACTTGTATATCTTAAATATCTATTTCAATAATTTAAATAAGTTTAGAAAAGACCCAGTTTTCATTATTGTTAATAGATATGTATCACATATGCTGACAACCAGGACAGCCAACAGGAGTATTAAGTGCTTATGTATCAATATGCTGACAACCAGGACAGCCAACAGGAGTATTAAGTGCTTATGTATCACAAATGCTGACAATTAGGACAGCCAACAGGAGTATTAAGTGCTGAATCAAAACTATAAATGCCCCCTCCCCAACACAACCCTACGCATGGACACATCCATAAATTAAATATGTCAGAATTGATCAATTGCATTCAAGCATACTTTCAAATATATTCAAAAGAGTATATGTAGTTCTGTAAAGATAATGAAAACAATAATGTGACAATAAACATAAGCAATATATTTAATACTAGATTGATCCCATGCTCATAACAATTGTTAAAGTTAAGTCGTAATGGTATTTTTATTTTGCTAAACAAAAGTGCTTTCTTTGCCATTCTTCTTGCACAATACGATTCACAGCACCAAAATCAATCGATACACCACATCAAATTCAATCGTTTTTTGCAAGAGCAGATACAGAGTTTGCCAAATCTAACGTTCACCCATGTGACATTCAATATTAGATAATTTTTTATCAGCTTTAGAGTGCTCTGCAGGGGCGACATTGGCAAGAACTCTGCAGGGTGACAGTGGCAGGAACTCTGCAGGGTGACAGTGGCAGGAACTCTGCAGGAGCGACAGTGGCAAGAACTCTACTGGGGCGACAGTGGCAAGATCTCTGCTGGGGCGACAGTGGCAAGAACTCTGCAAGGGTGACAGTGGGAAGAACTCTGCATGGGCGACAGTGGCAAGAACTCTGCCGGGGCGACAGGGGCAATAACTCGGCAAGGATGACAGTGGGAAGAACTCTGCAGGGGCGACAGTGGCAAGAAACAGCAGGGGCAAAAGTGTCAAGAACTCTACAGGGGTGACAGTGGCAGGAACTCTGCAGGGTGAAGGGGCAATAACTCGGCAAGGATGACAGTGGGAAGAACTCTGCAGGGGCGACAGTGGCAAGAAACAGCAGGGGCAAAAGTGTCAAGAACTCTACAGGGGTGACAGTGGCAGGAACTCTGCAGGGTGACATTGGCAAGAACTCTGCAGTGTGACAGTGGCAGGAACTCTGCAGGAGCGACAGTGGCAAGAACTCTGCTGGGGCGACAGTGGCAAGATCTCTGCTGGGGCGACAGTGGCAAGAACTCTGCCGGGGCGACAGGGGCAATAACTCGGCAAGGATGACAGTGGGAAGAACTCTGCAGGGGCGACAGTGGCAAGAAACAGCTGGGGCAAAAGTGTCAAGAACTCTACAGGGGTGACAGTGGCAGGAACTCTGCAGGGGCCACAGTGGCAAGAACTCTGCAAAGGGTGACAGTGGGAAGAACTCTGTAAAGGCGACAGTGGAAAAACTCTTCAGGTGCGACAGTGGCAAGAATTCTGCAAAAGCAACAGTGGCAGGAACTCTGCAGGGGCAACAGTAGCAGGAACTCTGCAGGGGCAAAAGTGGCAGAAACAGTGCAGGGGAGACGGTGGCAAGAACACTACAGGGGCAACAGTGTTAGGAACACTGCACGGGCGACAGTATTAAGAACTCTACAGGGGGACAGTGGCAAGAGCTCTGCAGGGGCAACAATGGCAGGAGTTCTGCAAAAGCAACAGGGGCAAGAAATCTACAGGGGCCACAGTGGCAAGATCTCTTCAGGAGCGACAGTGGCAAGAACTCTGCTGGGGCGACAGTGGCAAGATCTCTGCTGGGGCGACAGTGGCAAGAACTCTGCAAGGGCGACAGTGGGAAGAACTCTGCATGGGCGACAGTGGCAAGAACTCTGCCGGGGCGACAGGGGCAATAACTCGGCAAGGATGACAGTGGGAAGAACTCTGCAGGGGTCACAGTGGCAAGATCTCTTCAGGGGCGATAGTAGCAGGAACTCTGCAGAGGTGACAGAGGCAAGATCTCTGTAAAGGCGACTGGGGCAAGAACTCTGCAGAGGTTATAGTGGCAAGCACCCTGCAGGGGCCACAGTGGCAAGAGCTATGTAAAGGCGACAGTGGTAAGAACTCTGCAAGGGTGGCAGTGGCAGAAACTCTGCAGGGGTTACAATGGCAAGATCTCAGCCAGTGGCGACTGTAGCAAGAACTCTGCAAAAGTGAAAGGGGCAGGAACTCTGCAGGGGCTACAGTGGCAAGAACCCTGCAGGGTAGAACTTGGCAATAACCTTGCAGGGGCGACAGTGACAGGAACTCTGCAAGGACGTCAGGGGCATGAACTCTGCAGGGGCAACAATGGGAGGAACTCGGCAAAAGCCACAGGGGCAAGAAATCTACAGGGGCGACAGTGGTAGGAACACTGACAGGGCGACAGTGTTAAGAACTCTACGGGGAGACAGTGGCAAGAGCTCTGCAGGGGCAACAATGGCAGGAGCTCCGCAAAAGCAACAGGGGCAAGAAATTTACAGGGGCCGCAGTGACAAGATCTCTTCAGGGGCGATAGTAGCAGGAACTCTGCAGAAGTGACAGAGGCAAGAACTCTTTAAAGGCGACAAGGGCAAGAACTCTGCAGGGTCAACAGTGGCAAGATCTCTGTAAAGGTGACAGGGGCTAGAACTCTGCAGGGGCGTCAGTGGCAAGAACTCTGCAGGGGTGATAGTGGCAAGAACCCTGCCGGGGGTGAAAATGGCAATAATCCTGCAGGGCAGTGACCGAACTCTGCAGGGACGAAAGTGGCAAGAACTCTGCAGGGGTTACACTGGCAAGATCTCAGC